GGATCATGACCTGAGCCAAAGGCAGACGCTTAACGACAGAGCCACCCAGGCGCCCCAATAAATATAATCTTTTAAAAATAAATAAATAAAAACTAGATTAAAAAAATAAGGAAAACTAATGATCAAGTATTTCACAAAAAAGGAAACAAAACGAGTTACTAAATATATGGAAAATAGTGAACCTCATTAGCCATCAGGAAAATGCAAATTAAAGTGCCAATGAGATACTAAGCATAATATGTCCCAAAGATCGCCAGAACTCAAACCGCCTAATGATGCCCAATGTTGACATGGCTGTGGGAAAAACAGAAACTCTCATACATTGCCGGTAGGAATTCAATTGCCAAAATAACTTTGAAAAACAATTCGGCTTATGTCTAAAAAGCTGCACAAATCCTATGACCCACCCCTGGGGTGCTACACCCCCGGATAGCTTTTGTGTATCTACTACTGGACCCGAGTTCATGAAAAAGCACATCGGGCACTGTTTGTGACATCATAGAAGTGGACCGAGGGGGAAAAAAGCCTGGAAACCACCCAAATGTCTACTGACATGTTGAGAACGCATGTATAAACCATGATATACTCATATACTGATGATATTCTCAGAACATGAAATATTAGGCAGCAATAAAAATAAATGAATTATAGCCACGCACTTCAATGTGCAAATGTGGATGGCGAGTGCATCTCACAACCGATGCAGAGCCAAAAAAAAAAAAAAGCAAGTTAACGAATTCCACTGCAGGCTGCCTGAGATTACCAGATGCCCTGATGACTTCCTAGTGACCCCTAGTGACTACAAGGAGCCTGATGCCTGGTACGATTCCATTTCTACGAGGAAAGGCTAAACAACATATTCAGACATACACACATATGTGATAAGCTACAAACGAAAGTAAGGAATCAATGAACAAAAAATACAGGATAACGATTATGGAGCAGGGGGGTTGCTGTGCGCAGGGGGCCCCCAGGGGCCTCTAACTATTGGTCATGCTCTATTTCTTAACGTGAGTGGTGGGTACACACAGGGGTTATTTTATCATTATTCCTTACATCATACATGTATGTTAACTACAGTAAGTCATATATAAAAATTTACTAATTTTTTAAGTCCCCCATCCTTTTTTTTTTAAGATTATTTATTTATTTATTTGACAGAGAGAGACACAGCGAGAGAGGGAACACGAGCAGGGGGAGTGGGAGAGGGAGAAGCAGGCTTCCCGCTGAGCAGGGAGCCCGATGCGGGGCTCGATCCCAGGACCCTGGGATCATGACCTGAGCCGAAGGCAGAAGCTTAACGACTGAGCCACACAGGCGCCCCAAGTGGCCCATCCTTGACGCAGACAGCCCTGACGAGTTGGAGGATGATGTGCTCCAGGTGCCCTGGGCGCCCACCACGCCTTAGCTCCTGGGGAGTCACACCCTCACCAGCAATCACAACCTCACACACACTCGCATGGACTAGCAGGCCTTGAGATGTCACAGGTGCAACGCGACACTACCACATCCCCACGCGAGGAACTGCACACGTTCACATAGGCGGCTGCCCATGCGGTTACGATGGCCAAGCTGCCCAGATGCAAGGACACGCGCCACCCTTAAAGACACAATGCAGCACGGAGACATCATGGCTTCTCTCCCCAGAATGACACAGCTCCATAAAGGGGCAGGGAGAAGAAGCAGCCTCAGGAACACCCATACAAAATCCTAGTCACTTAGGCCAACAGAACCAAAATGGGATGTGCGCATGGGGATGCAAAGACCACTCCCACCTAAAAAACGAAATCTCACACAAACACACACACGGACACGCCCATAGGCTAGCCATCACCATAGGATTCACAAACACTCACACGGGGTCCCCGAGACAAGTCAAATGCAGAACACCCCCAGCATCACACACACTGCACACCCAGACCCACAACGGCGCGTCTGGAGGGACGCTCGGAAGCGCTGACATCAAAGGACGCGCACTTACAGGGCCAGGACATTCTCACGCCCCAGTCATCGCCTCTCGGGCAGAGACCGGTGCGCGCACCCCCTTCCTTCATGCGCGCTAGTCCCGTGGACAGCGCCACAGGCGACCGGCGGGGCGAGGCCGGGCCCGCGCCAGGTGCCAAGGGTGGGCAGGGCGTGGCGGCCAGCCGAGCCCCGCACACCCGGACACCGAGTCCCGCACTGCCTGGGCGCGCGGACTGGCGGGGGCACCCGGGCCACCCTGGCCGATCTCCCCCGCACGTCCGGGAGCAGGCGGGGGGCCCGCGAGGACGAGGGGAGAGCAGCCGGGCACAGACCCTCGCCCGCAGCATCCTCCCGCCCACCCCCACCCCGTGCCCCGCCGGTGTCGCACCTTTACCGGCCGTGCGCAGAACGCGGGGGGCGGCCGAAGTAAGCCGAACAGCAGCAGCACCAGAAGGCCGACGCCCCCGGCCCGCGGCCCGCCGAGCAGCGGCGACCACGCCATGCTGCCCCAGCGAGCCGGGCTCCGGACGGGCGGACTGGCTGGCAAATGCGCAGCGCGGGGGCGAGCGGGCAAGGCTGCGGGGCTCAGCGGCTGCGCGCGCCAGGGAACCCGGCCCTCCCCCTGCCCGCACCCCCTCTCCGACCACTCTACGCAGGCGCAGCCGGGGAGCTCCAGCAGCCTCCCCATCCTGCCCGTCGCCATGGAGATGCCCAAGGGGCAAGGTGGTAAGCTGGAGCCTGCCATGGCGGTTGCCATGGCAGTCGGAGGGCAGTTGCCGGGGCAACAGACCTTGCCGTCCCTTAGCAGACAGGAAGGCAAAATTGACTCAGTGGGGTGGAATGGGGATCCGGTCCCCACCTCTCCCTCCCTGGGGAGGAGGCATTATGACTTTGTTCACTGGAGAAACAGCTCCTCGCTACTGTGGGTGAGGATAGATACATAGATAAATAGATTTCACCCATATATTGTTCCAGAAAGGGTTTCAAGCCACTTGAAATGACACATCAAAGGCAACAAAACTTTGGTAAAATTTGAGTGTACACTGGGCAAAAAACGTTGGGAAGGGAATGTTAGTGGTTATTTCTGGGTGCGGAGATAAATTATGGTTTGTCACTCTGTCCTTTACACTACTCTCTGTTGTGTGAAAAAATGTTGCAACGAATATGTACTCCTATTAAAATCAGATAAAAATAAAGAGATTTTCATTTAGGAATTAAAACAAAGTATGGGGGAGCCTGGGTGGCTCAGTCAGTGAAGCGTCTGCCTTCGACTCAGGTCATGATCCCGGGGTCCTGGGATGGAGCCCCACATCTTATCGCATTGGGCTCCCTGCTCGGCAGGGAGCCTGCTTCTCCATCTCCCATTCCCCCTGCTTGTGCTCTCTCTCTATCAAATAAATAAATAAAATCTTTAAAAAAATTAATTAAAAAAAAGTATGGTAACATGGCACAAATTAAAAGTGAAGAAAAGAAAGATCCCTTTATGCTGCTGTGAGTATATCTAACCCATTGATTCTGTCTCCATCTCTTCAGTATTAAAAACAACTTTATAATAAAAATCATTATACACATCCCTTTATGGGCCTGAAGATGATGTACCCAATGATGGTGTGATGGACACATGTTTAAGGTGGTTCCCATGATCCTTGCCTTCTGGTGTCCACAATCTTGTGTAATCCCCTCCCCTTTGAAAGTGTGCATGACCAAAGGTGACCAGATATATGTGATTACATGTCCATAATTACATCAGAAATGAGGCTGGTGGCGCACCTGGGTGGCTCAGTCAGTTAAGCGGCTGCCTTCGGCTCAGGTCATGACCCCAGGGTCCTGGGATAGAGCCCCACGTCGGGCTCCCTGCTCCTCGGGGAGCCTGCTTCTCCTTCTCCCTCTGCCTGCCGCTCCCCCTGCTTGTGCTCTCTCTCTGTCAAATAAATAATATCTTAAAAAAAAAAAAGAAATGAGGTTGGACTGTTACGGGCGGGAGAGTCTGCATTGGGTGAATGGAGGTGTTGGTTCTTGGATTCCCCATGAAAGATTTACATGAAGATCCACACTCAAAGGCAGCCAGAAGGAAGGTAGCAAGCATGAAGCAGTTTATTAAGGACAGTATATACTCAAGAATGGAGAGTGGGCAGGCCCAGAGGTGGCAACTGCACCAGGTTAGGGGTGTCTTTTCTTTTTATGGTTGTATAGGTTATGGGTCATAGCAGGGCGGTCTCTGACTGAGGTTGTTTCCAACCATCTAAGGGACTCCTCCTACCAGTTGGGAGTGGGAGTTTTTGGCCCTACAAGGTTCTTGCTGGAATTGTTATGGCCATCTTTCCCTACAGTGGGGGGGGGGGCATTGAAACTGGGCATTGACTGGTGGCTGGACCCCAGGCCACCCTGGCGGTATAATATATAATGTAAATAAATTATAATGAAGCTCTAGGTTACCCTAGCCTCAGGTGGCAAGAAAGAGAGGTAGCCTCGAGGAACCGAAGGCGGCCTCCAGCTGACAGCCAGCAAGAAATCAAAGCCCCCAGTCCTTCAGCTGCAAGAAACTGAATTCTGCCAATGACCAGAGTGAGCTTGGATCCTTCCCCAGTCAGGCCTCATAAGAGACTGCAGCCCTTGTCAACACCTTCATTTCAGCTTTGTGAGACCCTAAGCAGAGATCCTAGTTAAGCCATGTCCTGACTCCTGACCACAGAAACTGGGAGTTAATGTTGTTGTAAGTCTGTTGTTTTAAGCTAAGAAGTAACATATCATCAACAAACTAGGAGTAGAAGAGAACATCCTCAACCTGATGAAGGACAAAACCCCACAGCTAACATCATACTTAACAGTGCGGGGCGCCTGGGTGGCTCAGTCGTTAAGCGTCTGCCTTCGGCTCAGGTCATGATCTCAGGGTCCTGGGATCGAGCCCTGCATCGGGCTCCCTTCTCAGTGGGGAGCCTGCTTCTCCCTCTCCCACTCCCCCTGCTTGTGTTCCCTCTCTGGGTCTCTCTCTCTGTCCAATAAATAAAATCTTTAAAAACAAAAAACAGTGAAAGACTGAAAGCTTTCTCCCCAGGGATCAGGATCAAGACAAGGATGTTCCAGGGGCACCTGGCTGGCTCAGTCTTTAGAGCACCTGACTCTTGATCTTGGGGTGGTGAGTTCAAGCCCCACATTCCCGAAAAAGATAAGGATGTTTCCTCTCACTTCTATTTCTTTTTTTTTCTTCCAAAGATTTTATTTATTTATTTGACAGAGAGAGAGAGACAGCGAGAGTGGGAACACAAGCAGAGGGAGTGGGAGAGGGAGAAGCAGGCTTCCCACGGAGCAGGGAGCCCGATGCGGACTCGATCCCAGGACCCTGGGATCACGACCCGAGCCGAAGGCAGACACTTAACCGACTGAGCCACCCAGGTGCCCCGCTCTCACTTCTATTTGACATTGTACTGAAGGTTCTAGCCAGGGTACTTAGCCAAGAAAAAAAGACATCCACAGTGGAAAGGCAGAAATGAAATTATTTCTATTTGCAAATGATGTGACTTTATACATGGACAATCTTAAGGAATCTACAACAAAACCATTTGAGTTAATAGATGAGGTTACAGGATGTAAGATCAATATTATAAAACTCAATTGTATTTCTATACACGAGGAGTGAACAATCCAAAAATGAAAGAAAACAATTCCATTTGCATTACCATCAAAAAGAATAAAAACACTTACAAACAAAGTTAACAAAATAAGTGCAAGACTGTACCCTGAAAACCACAAAAACCATCTAACATAAACTCAAATCCATAATCACTTACTTCCAACATCCATTTCTCAAATACTCCATGGTTCCCCATGATGTATAGTCTCCCTCATTGCAGCAAGCTAATAAACCCAATTTGGTTCCTGATGGTCTTTGACTGATGGGCATTAACACAAATGGAGGAGGTTTCACTGAGATTCGGCAGAAACCCTCACTGCCCTACCCTGTGACCTTCAACTCAGTAATAGTGTACATATCTGAAACGCCTTGTGTCTCCAGCTAATTGAGTCACCTCCCTGCCCATGCTTGGCTTGGGGGTAAGTTCACAGTGACTTGAATATAGACATTTCAATGAGGTCCTCTGCATTGATTTGTTTTGTTTTCCTAGGAATAAGGATCCCCCAGAATTTGGTTATCTAATCAGATACATATTGTTACTTGGTAAAATTGTTTTCTAGCTTTCAACCATCCATTCCTGTGGTCTGTCCAATTGTATATGTGAAACATATAAGAGCTATATTTAGTTACGTGGTTGAGTGTTACTTCACAACAAAAGGAAAGTCTATAGAAAGAGAAAGAGCATAACCCTGACATTTATTCTCAAGCTGACCCTGGGGGCTGAGGAGTCCTGGTATCCAAGGCTTGTTTGTCCAAAGGATGCTGGTCTGGGGAAACCATTAGAAAATCTTACATGGAAGCAGCCTTAAATAGGTATTTGTACACACGTGTTCATAGCAGCATTATTCACACAGGTAAACATGGAAGCCACCCAAGTGTTCATTGGTGGATGAATGGGTAAGCAAAATGTGATATATACCTACAATGGAATATTATTCAGCCTTTAAGGAAGGAAATTCTGACACATGCTACAACGTGGATGAACACCGAGGACATTATGCTAAGTGAGATAAGCCAGTCCCCAAAAGAGGAATACTGAAGGAGTCCACTTACATGAGATACTTAGAAGAGTCAAAATTATAGAGACAGAAAGTAGAACAGTGGGTTACCAGGGGCGGGGGGCGGGTAGGGAGTTAGTGTTTAATGAGTACAGAGTTTCAGGGTTTTTTTAAAGATTTTATCTATTTATTTGAGAGAGAACACAATCGAGCATAAGTGGGGGGGGGCAGAGGGAGAGGGAGGGACAGAGGGAGAGGGAGGGACAGAGGGAGAAGCAGACTACCCGCTGAGCAGGGAGCCTGTCGCGGGGCTCGATCCCAGGACTCAGAGATCATAGCCTGAGCTGAAGGCAGACGCTTAACAGACTGAGCCACCCAGGCGCCCCTAGAGTTTCAGTTTTATAAGATGAAAAGAGTTACGCAGATGGATGGTGGTGATAGTTGCACAACATTATGAATGTATTTAATACTACTGAAATGTACACTTACAATGGTAAAGATGGTAAATTTTATGTGTATTTCACCACAAAACTTACATGAATTTCTTCTTCAGTCTTGTCTTTGTGTCCCTGAGAATTGCTTTGTTAATTTCATCTGCTTAGCCTCAGCAGGGTTTTTATTCCTGGCCCAGGATCATGACGGTTGGCCTTTAGCCAGAATCTGGAGACAACAGTTACACAAGCAGCCCCTTATGGAGCACTGCAATTCTTATGGGATCTTCTCAAGTCTAAAACTGTGCCTCTCAGGCCAAGCACCTTCGTCCTTCATGTTTTTTCACCGGAAAGTCAACACATATGTTTATCTAACTGAACTGACATAATTTCACCAGGGAAATTTCGAAATTGTAGTAACTTTGGGAAACTTCTGCCATGA